AAAGTGACCCTGTGCGTGTCAAAACATGAACATGAACGGTGAACCAACCATCTACATTTATGACCTTAATTTATGATGCAAACAACCTTATCAGCAATGATTAGATTGATAGACAACAATTTTCTTTTTAATGGGAATCACTTTTCCCACTGCAAAGCTTTGATGAGCTTGGACTTTATATGGTTTTACTCCAGGTAACTCAATACAACATTTGCTAAATAACTGCAAATGCATCCACATTACTGTCCATGATTCATACCTGATGCATTAACTAATGTTAACCAATTGCACCTTATTGTAAATTCTTGTTTTATGTAGTATGAAATGCAACACAAATAACCAGCTTTCCATTAGTTGTATGGGCTTTGTTTTTAATAGTTCTTGTTCACTAGCTCTTATCCAGTTGGATGCAGATATATTCGAGTGTTTTTGATGAGCAGTTGTGAGTTTCATCCACATTTGGTGGCTCTCATTTAAAAAAAAAAAATCTGAAGAAATTTAAATTGAAAGAGGAACAGCTACTTTTAGAAACACATGCAACCCTTTTACTGGTTATTGCTGATGAGAGGTCTTCTGGTTACAGATTTGACACTGTCGTAATCTCCAAGAATTAATACCGACTGCTGAGGTGGTAATTTGTGGCACTGCTGTGCTTGCAGTCAAATATAGAAAGTTACATGGACACATTGGCACAGTGCAAAATCTCACTATGCACAAAAAAAAAGGTGCTGGTCCCTCTGAGAGATAAAGATTGCACGATGCAGTACTCTGTGAACAGGTGTTGTTCCAGCACGCGGGTGCATGTCACTTTAGGATGGATCAGAGGAGGAGCTCAAACTATTGATTACAAACAGCAGAGCGAAAACAGACCAGTGGTGAAAGCTTCGTGATGGCCTTAGATAGGCAATAATCTGTAGGAGTAAGTGTATAAACATGCACACATGCTTTGGTAGAGATCATATGACATTGAGCATGTGCACAGGATTGACACCTCATTGTAAGTGATTTGGAGCGTGTGCCTGAGAGACCATAATGGTGGCCTTCCAGTTTTAAAGGCAGGTCTGATACTGAAGTAGCAACTGTGGCTGTAAGCCTAACATTTCACTAGAAATCTGATAGGCAGATGAATGACCTCGGCATAGGAGAGCTGTCTGTAAATGTACTGCAGCTGTTGATACATGTATGTTTCTTTCTTAAAGGTCACATTCATAGGAATTGTACTGTTTCATCAGATGCTCACAATGTTTGTTTAATAGAGAAATAAGGCACTGGAGGGCCTTTGTTACATTGATTTTCCCATGGGTAAACAGGTTTTAGATCTCCTGTGCACTGTGCCTAAAAATCACTTTAACACATTACCCTGACTGAGTGGCTTGTTGGATTTATCAAATGCAATAGCAATATGATAAAATATACCACATAATAAACATTTCACAAAGTAATGCAGAGAGTTTGTGGCTTTTGGTCCGTTTTTTATAAGATAAAATACACATCAGACAATTTGTTTTGGTTTAACTTTCTCTTAAGTGTTTTTATGACAGAAAGAAATCTGTTCTGTTCGGTTATCTGTTACAAAATAGTTTATGTTCTTCCCACAGAACACTAAACTAAACATTACTTTGTGCTTCCTTATGGGCATTATTTCTACATAAACTTTTAACTTGACCTGAGGACTGTTCTTTACCCTTTCTGTTTGTTTCAAGTGAACTTTCAGGTAGCTTATCAAATTATTGAGGCAAGCTGTCGTTTGCGTCAGAAGTAACAAGCATGGATAATCGTCTCTTGGATTGTGTCCTAAATAAGGGCTTATTCAAGGTTGTGTAATGCTTATAAGGATGCAGAGGCAGTTTTTCTGACAGCTGAACATCTCTTAAAATTATCAGAAGATATTGGTAAATTAATTTGCTTATGAAAGAATTGAGAAATAAAATAAGAACAGGTTTATTCAATGTCTGTTATCAGAATTTACTTTTCCCTAAAGTAACGGTTAATAGTTAATGACCTAATATTGCAGAGCTTAAAACTACTAAATGCATTTAAGTTACTCTTTGATGTCTCTCTTTACAATAAGGATCAATTCATTAACTTTATGCATTAGGTATCATGAACTAAAATGGACAATACTTCTAAATACTACTAATTTACAACTATAAATTAACAATGAACAATATATATATAAATTAACCTAGATTAAGAAATGCTGTAAAAATGCTCATTGTTCAAATATTCATGATACCTAATGCATTAACTACCTTACTGTAAAGTGTTACCAATTACCCTAGAAACTAATCTGCAATATAGACCATTTAGAAACAATCTTGAGTAGTTTCTCTGAAGGTCCAGAATGGTCCTTAACATATGAAATCGGAGTTAACATGTGTAAAAAGAAAGACATAAACGCCTCAACTGAAAAACATGTATATGTCTCAGTCACAACAGAGAGCCCTCTTGCCATAATGCACATTGTGGCAGTGACATGCACTCCTGAATTTTTAAATCACAATATAACCCTTGTGGTTTGCCATGAAAGGGCTTGTTATGCCCTCTAGTGGAAAGTACATTCTAGTACATGTTGGCTTACAGGTCTATTTGGAGACACATTTCTCCCCTGGTGTACTTTCAAACAGGAGTAGACTTACTATTTACCTATATTTCCTTAGAACATTTTTATTATTATACCAATTTACAATACTCTGACAACTTTTGTAATGGCAATTTGGTAGTTCGGTCAGTGCGTTCAACATGGGGCCCATCCTGCTGTTATTCCCTGTAGGAATGAGAGGAATGTCTGTCAGTTGGAGAGAAAAAGGTCAGGCAGTGCTGGGACAAGGCTGTGGGGGGAATGCAACCATGGGTAATGCCTGACCAGATAATCGAAGCGTGAAACCAGGGAGCTGTTACACCCATACACAAGCACAGCAGGGGGAACAGGACCTGAGAAACAGGCCACATGCACACACACACACACAATCATACACACACACACGCACAGCAATGAAGCTAAGCCAGGGCCGCTGAAGACCCATGTTGTGACATGTTTGCTTACTGCGGGAAAAAGAGATTGTTACACATGTCCCAGCCTTAAGCACTCTAAAGCAAAGTTGCAAAGCACTTCTGTCATCTTCAATATCAAAGTTCCATTCCTTATGAAACCTCAGAGCCACTGTATTTCATGTGCTATGACTGAAGAATGAAGAATGCGAAAATTCTGCTCTGACTTCATTGGTGAAACAGCAGTGGTGATCACACGCATTTTTGAATTGTGTGTGTGTGTGTCTTAGAAGTTTGGTACCTTTAAGAAAATGCCTAATGCTAAAGTGATCTAAACTGCTAAACTTTACATTTAGCAACAGCAATTACATTCATTATTCACAACTGTACTTGTAGATAACGCTATCATCAGACCCCTGGTATCCAGTCCTTCTGGGAATTTGTGATTCGCCGTACATGTTTGAGCCATGCCTGCTGTAAGCGTAGGCAAATCAATGATTAACCACAATACTGCCACTTACACTTTTAATTAAGTGTCCTTCAAATGACTTTTAACAGCAATGATTAGTTGGAAATATAATTAATGAGCTTTTTTTATTGACACTTTTATTGACATGTTGTTATTGACATGAGTTTTGGCTGTGTAGGCAGTGTAAATCTGCAAATATCCACGTTAAAAGATTATTTTGATGCTGTGTGATGAGATTTATAATGAATTTATATATCTATTACTTCAACATTATCGTTATTGTCATTGGCATGAACAACAAGGACAATGACAACAATATAAAAAAAAAAAACACACTTTAACTTGAATGTTTTTATTTCTGCAAGATATCGCAGTGCTGGGTCAAAAACCAATGCTGGTCATGGGACCATTGTTTTGAATTTAGCAATAAATGTGAACAAGTTAAGTTCCCATGTCCCTTTAATCATTATGAAATGCACAATAAGAATTTATCCTCAGAATTTAGAAGTTGTCACTGAAAGATAATCATTAGCAATAACTTATAACAACAGTACCAGGATAAAAGTAAAATTTTAGAATCATGATATCATTCTGGTTAGAATTGACTTTTAAATGACATGGCAGCTTTATATGTATATAATCAGAGGGTTGGGCTGAGGGCAATTGTAACACACAAAATGTATTTAATTCATATGTTGGCTAAAGCAATGACACTTTCAACATATCCTCAGTAAAGTTCTCTTTATGCCTTAGAAAAAGTGCAATCGATTCCCTGCCTGAGAAATTTTCAAGAAAAACTGATTTACATCTATACTATATATATCTTTTTTATAGTCACTATACAATATTTCCTCATGGCAATGAGGTTGAGGGCAATGGTAACAAAAAAAAAATACTGCATTGAAAGATCAATGTACCACTTTTGCTTTAAACACAAATTCCTGACAGATTACCATATGAATTTGATACTGAAAGATGCTAATAAGTCCCAACCACTGCTACAATAGGTGACGTAATGAGGGTGACTTCTTCTAATAAGTTATTTATTACAGCCTAATCTTTCTCATAGGTCTTTTATAGCAAATGCACATGTACACAAAAGATGGCAAATCTGTAGTCGGCTATGATGGACAATAAAAAAATTGCCCCCTGCCCCATATCTCACAGTAGATTCAGCTCAACTGAGGAAATTGTATTGATTTCAAAAGAAAAGAAAGGCCATGAAAAGTGGGGAGAAGAAAAATGATTACATTCCTCCTCAGAAAGACAGATTTGATTCTTGATTCATACCAGTCCAGGGATCTTAACACCCAGGAATGACTTTATAAAGCTCCTTGGAGGCACTTCCTGTACCTGTGCACCAGTGCAACCCTCAGGGTCCAGATCTGATATGTTTTAATGATCCTTTGGGCTTCCATGGAAATAAAAAAAAGAAAGATGATTGGTGATACAGCAATAACTTGAGCTTTGCACAGGAGAGGGTTATGACCATGAGTCCAATAATCACTGAAAATCAGAAAAAGTGTCAAGAGATTGGACAGATGTCTCTGTTTTGCTTTATTGTCTCTTAACGTGAACAACATGAATTTGTGATCTTGGTGAACCGTCTGTGATCCTTTGTGCACAGAGCAATATTAGCTTTTGAGTTCCCTTGTTTAGCTTGTTAGTTTACTCTGCAGCCATCTTGGTTTGCCTTTCAAGCCGCATGCCTCATCTCTGTGCGACACAGGCGTTTTGGAGAAGGTGTCGGGCATGTCATGGTGATTTTGGGAAGCTTCTGTCCTTGGGAGTTGCAGAGCTCCACGGTGCACTTCATCAGGGAACTGTATGGGCCCCTATGTGCAGGCAACAGATCCACCTGGTCCTGGTGACAAGAAATGTGGACCTGTGGCAGAGCTGCGCGATAAGGCAGTGGAGAGTGTAGGATTTGGCGGCACAGATGCTCCTGGAACTCAGAAAATGGCTCCAGCAGGTGTGCTGCCAGTGGGCAGTCAAACACTCCTCTGTTTGGTGCTTTTTTCAGCACAGACCTCAGGGGCTGGCACGCTCTGTCAGTCTGCCTCATCTGTTGCATGGTGTCAGGACTGATAGGGTACACTGCCTGCACTACAGGACTTTGGAAAGTGAGTCGAGATCTCGGGGACACTCCAGAGGCTTTGGCAGGAACCAAGCAGGGCCCATTTCCTTGAACAGTGTGCACCTTGACAGACAGAGACGTCTGCCCGACAGGTACAATTTTTGGATGCATCAATGCATGAGCAGGTTTAGCTGAAAGGAATTCCATTTTGTCCGGCCTTTTTCATAAGAGAATGAGAATAATTAGATGTTGAAATACTATATACTAGTTATATGCATAAAATGAATAAGCATGCACACTTTGATGAACCAGATGCTTGCTTAGGCTAGGGTTAGCGGTTTGTTAACTTTGTTGCATAACTTTAAGTATGTTGCATGTGTTCATTTTGTGCTACAAACAAGAATTATACCTTAAATTGAGCTGCCATTGAGTTGTGCTATTACTTTTCGAAGCAAACAGACATACTTTTTTTTTGCTTGGTGGACAATAAAACAGGAAAAAACTTATTATATCCAAATTATACCTAGTGAGTGACCAAATTATATCTAGTGACCAGAATATCTTACAGACTTGGGCCAGGGAGCAACCACCTAACAATGACTCAGACCCCTCTAGTAACCACTTAAAAAACACTCTAACAACTACCCAGAACACTTTAGCAACATTGTAGCAATGCACTAAAAACCCTTAGAAATGTTCTGTTTAAACAGAGAAAGGTTTAGCAGCAGAGTTTGCCTTTCAGTATAAGAATGAAAGAAACATGGGTCAGGTGCAAGCAACAGAAATGAGATCAAGCATATAGCTGCAAGAGAATTCAATTAAAATTGTCTAAAATTGTTTACCACATATTTATTTAGTTAAAGCGTTCTTTTTTTCTGAAACGATGTCACTATATATATTCCAAACCCTATCTGCCTAGTTGACTATAGGTACACCGCAAAAAGTTCCACTACAGGAAAGGTTGTCAGGTTTTCAATCACATTAAGATTCAATTACCATTTCTGTTACTAATCGCATTCATCAGTGATGGTCCTGGCAAGCATATCTGAAACTCACTGCAAGTGGAGACAAATGTAATCTTTGTATTTTATCTCGGCAAAATCTAGGCATTTAAACAAACTCTCTGTACTACAACCAGACCTGACTGTGTAGCTGTTTGCACTGTGTAATTCCACTTTATTGGGACACTTTAATTTCAGTTTATTAGCTCAGCTGTGGGGGCTGATAGTAATTGAATAGAAGCCTACATGCCCTCTCTCTGCCTCTCAGTTCTCAACGCTGATCTCCACTCTCTCTCCCTCGCACCTCACAGCCTCAAATAAATGAGGGAAGCAGAAAAATACTTGCCCACGTGATGCCGAGACTAACCAGGCTTTAAATCATTAATAAGCTGAAAATGACTCTGCATATATCTGCCGGGCGAGATATTGACTGTGCCTTTTCATTTTCGTTCTGTGAATTTAACAGCGCTCCAAATGCAGAACGAAGCCATGCCTTCTGCCTACACTGACAAGTATGAAATCATTTTAGGCTACTTTCCTCTAGCCTAAAAGCGAAGGGCACTGAATTCTGCTGGAAAGTCCTGTTCTTATTGTCAGGTTTTAGATGGCCAGTCAATAGGTGGTTGATTTGATATTTGTGCTGACGGTTTTAAGTTAACAGTGGCATGACTTTTTTTTATGAAGCAAGATACAATGTACATTAAATGTACTTGCAAAGGGTGGTTGTTAATAGAAAAAGGGAGGCAATACCTGCATCCAGACCTACAAGGAGGTCTCGGGGGGTCTGTTTCCTTCCCATTATTTCTGGATTTGGTGATTGGTGGGAGTTTGGAGACAGTTTTGAATCCAGTGCCTTTCACAATCAAACTGCACCTGGTAAATCATACGTTTCAGCAATGAACATATTATGCCACTGAATAACAATTGGCCATTGGTAAACAATTAGTGGTGTACGAAGTCTCTATTAAAGGAATAGTTCAGATTTGAGGGTGATTAAATGACAACATTTTCATTTTTTGTGTGAATTATTCCTTTAAAACATGTTGCTTACAAAGTTGCACTTATATCGCTTATGGCTCTCGCAACTTTTCCAAAGCACTTCCCCTCGGGTGAATCCCCGCCACCATTTTGAAATGCGTTCAACTTCGTCAAGTGGACGAGGGAAGTTTATTTTGGCAGACTCTCGACCCCTTGATTTTGACAGAGGGAGTCTACTCGTATGTGCACTTCAGGCAGATCCATAAAACACACTGCAACACGATTGTAACGGTGTAACAGCAACTAGCAGAGGTTGCACTTAATTTACCCACAAGTGATCAAGGGCTTAGGGGTGTCCAAACTCGTCCTGGAGGGCCACTGTTCTGCAGAGTTTAGCTCCAACTTGCCTCAACACACCTGCCTGGAAGTTTCTAGTATACCAGTAAGACCTTGATTAGCTGGTTCAGGTGTGTTAAACTGGAGTTGGAGCTAAACTCTGCAGGACAGTGGCTCTCCAGGAGCAGGATTGGACACCCCTGGCTCAGGATGTTCTATTTAAACCTATTACAAGGGTTCTGCAAGTAGTAGGCACTCTTGCAATGTAAGCAAGGACGTACATCCAAGTGAACGAGACGGAAGGACGGGCATAAAAAAGTGGACCAAAACACAGCCCTGGAAGGATCTGTATTCAGTACCTGGTGCTTATGAGAGGGGGTAAACTGATGCGACTCTCAGAATGTCTGTATGACCTCTTGTCTCTGGGGTGGAGGGTTAATGTAGTCATCACCGCTGGCAAGCTCTTGTGACTCCTAACATCATCGTCGTCATCTTCATCCCTGAGTGGCCCCCTTACACCAGGGAGACGGGGAAGGTTGGCAGTTACATCCTGTGTAAAACAAGCAGGGTTGGTGCATACCTACATGGGAGGTTCTAGCTGCCATATAATGAGTGATAATGTACAATTAGCCAGATAAATTGCTAAATAAACAGGTTGATTAGGATCATGTTGTATCCAGGGGTGTATTTTGCAACTGTATATTATCCCACTTGTTACGATCCTACTTTCAAAATAAATGGATGTAAGTTGAAATTGCTTTATTATAGGAGAAAACAGAGTGAGGAGTGATACGAGTTACTAATGTGGGAGACTGGCTACCAGATACATGTGTCAAATATAAAGGTTAATGGTCAGTGGTCAGTGGATAATTCTGCAGTGTTTACCCCATGTTGCAGGAATGAGACCGGTTCTGAGAAATGTGATGGTACAGGTGAAACATCACGAAAAGGGGACTGGCTTCTGTGTTTCCTAATTTTGTTGGAGGGCCTGTTGACACAGCAAGTGATTTGGATATATCAATGCATAATAAGAGACACAAATAAGACTAATTTACACTGAAAGTAATAGTAAGTTACTTTACAAAAGTTACTCTTGAAGATTAACCTCAAACATGCATGATGTTTAAAGCTGTAAATGTTTTTTGTCTGTTTGTTTGTTCTTGCCATTTATAGTCATATACGTGTATTAAAGTGTGTGCATATATATGTATATATTACCAGTCTCCTTTCCCATCCATTGGAAGGCCTTTGCCAGAAAAGCCCATCCTGATTCTTATTTACCCTTAAAAGAACAAGTTATTAGAACACAAGCACAAAGATATTGACATACCAAATTAACTTTAATCAATATTACCAAACCTCTCCCTTCTATAAATAATTGTTTAATTAGAGATATTCTTGAGCAATGATTTGGTTTTTATCTTTACCAACAGGATTTCAAGAATTCCATTAGTCTTCAAGAAGTCCATTAACATATAAATAGGTGTTTCATTGCATAAATTCAATGCATGTGCGCTGAAAATATATTTTAGCCACAGTGCAGATAATTCATCTACTGATACATCAGGATTGTTTTAAATCAATCTCATGCTTTAAGACATTAATCAAACACAAAATCTACCATGAAATATAAAGCATGTTGCCGGCCCATTTCCCTCTGCATTACCTCATATTCCCTTTTTCTCAATTTAAAAATGTTCAGTGCCAGATTAAAGATTAAGCATGATGGAAACTATAGAAATTAGTGTATTCCAACATTGCAGGCAACAACAAATAAAACAATATAATAATGTAATAAAATATGCACTGTTTAGCACAGCTTTGAAACATTGGCATTATTCACCTTTCAGTTCTGATAACAATACATTTCATTGAATATAACTTCTTGAAGTGCAACAATAGTACTTTAGACTGACAAATATCCTGTTTTGGCATCAGTAATGTTTGGGAAAACGTCAGATAATGATAAAACTTACCATGGGAATGCAGAATATCAATAAGACCGCTCAGTGGAAAGGCTGGCCACCGCCTCACACTGAGGACAATCCAAAGCACTGCAAGTCAGGACATTACCATGACCACCTTAACAGACCAGTCAAAATCCAAGACAACAAAATTCTCCGCTGTTGATTGGGTGGCTGTGTCCCAGAACCCCACACAGAGTTGAGAACAACCTCTTTCTCTGAAATGATTTGTAAAGGGTCATTTATATCAGAACAGAAGCAAACTAAGAATGATGACTCAAAATAATAAAGATCATTTTATGTTATTTGCACAAGATTATATAATACAGTAAAAGAGCCGCCCTAACTTATCTTTTGAAGTTGGTTACCTGGCCACAAAATGAGCTCACATCATTTCATCCAATCTAAACCAACAATATAGTTCATGATCGTGTTCCAGTTCAGAGAAACTAAATACAGACATTTGTCAGTGCATAGACTTTACTCTGGCACGTAGCTAGTGTAAGCGTCATTAGTGAGATGAGATGAGTTATATTCCCCAGTAGGGGGTGAGGTCTCCTTGCATTGTTTAAATCCGGCTTAGAGGTGAAACATTAAGCTTCAGGCTTTAAAGCAGCTACAAGCAGCTGCTCAGCGGGCCATGGAGGATCTGTCAGCAGTAGGGAATCATTAATCTGCAGTGTGCTTTTTACAGCCTCCTGCTGCGTTCTCCCATAGGGCAGTGCAGACAAACACTCCGTCATCATTATAAAACACATTTCATCTGTAATGATGATTAGCCCATTTTTTGGCTTGCTCGCAATAATATGATCACATATATACAGTTTGGAAGGGAGGTCTGTGCCGTAGGCTTCCTGTTGTCTTTTGTAAGTGAGAAAGCTTTTTAGACAAAACATTGTTTGTAATGTTGATAACTTTCTGTGACATCTATCTGTTTTGACTGCTGTAAAATGTCTAAAATTAGTGTGAACACCTTGCAAGGCAACATTGCCGGCCTACATCTGTCCTGATGAGCGAACGATCACGTCTGTGCATTAGCCCTCACACCTCTGATGCAAATCAGGCCACTGTAAATTGGGCTTTAATAGCATTTGCGTGACTCATTAGCGTGCAAATTGGAAGTGGGTTCATTTAAGCGATGACAAACTGCTAATGTACTTTCATGCTTCCAGCAGTCTAGAAGCAGATCAAAACCCTGTTTAGAACTCTTCTGCCCTCATATTAGCCTGTTTGTGTCATATTAGCCTCATGGCATGTTGACATGATGATATTTTCAAGTTTTTGTTAGCTTATAAAAATGAATTGCCACGGCTTGTTCACCATGCATGGGTTGAGTCGATGACCTTTGCAGTGTTGCTTTGTTTTTCTAATGATCAACACAGACTGACTGAGGACAGACGTCAGAGCTGACCAGGTCTTCACATTGTCATTAATCATAAAATAATTGCCAGCCTGCACTATGTGAATTCCAGCATGCTTCCAAGTTATACTTTGAATGATGAAAGCAAAGTTAACCTAATCGGAACTGATAACCACAATATTGCCAGGAACACAAATGAAACCAAATAGAGTACATTTTTATTTCACGTTAACTTTACAATTACTCGCTTAAGAAAACAAAGTGAAAATTCTAAGCCGTTTGATACAAGATGATGAAATGTTGGTAATCTTGACGGTGTGCTCAATGTGACCAAGTGTCGCACAGGCAGACTTTTAACTTGCAGCGCAATATCTGCACCATACTGCAGATTATTCTGGCCAGTGAATTCAAATAGTGCAGCAGTCTCCATGAACAGCTGTATATAACAACGAAAAATAATGGAAAATGTGTATGGACTTTATATTTGTCCTTACGCATTGATTAATTCAGACTTGAATTAAATAGAAATCAGCTACTATGAGCCTAAAAACAAAAATGTGATGCTACTAACCTTTTAATCAAATCCAGAGTAGTTCTTCCTCAAAAGTGCTAATCAAAAAATAAATCTGTGTGCCTTCATTTCCAGAAGTCGAATTAAGTCAGCCAAGCAGATTGGAACTGGCAATTTCAGCCAGCTTTTGTCATTTTTGTGAGCAATATGCATCAGCCATTATGATGGTTCTAACTGTAGTAGAAGGACCATAAAATGACATTTGGATGCAGGCAGCAATGAGCCTTTTATTGATTTCTTATGGAGGAACATTGCCGTACTGTCACACTTCAATGAATGTCAACGCTGTGCATACATGACTACACAAATAAACCTAGATTGTGCATTATACACACTGTGATTTCCAAGGTATCAGATTCAAACTTCAGTCACCCGTTAATCAGCTACACAGTGAGATGTATGATGGTGTTCATTTGCCCAGCTTACAGATAGAGACCTTACTCAAAGAGAGACCTGCACATTAAACAGTACTCAGAGTATTGCGGGAAGTTAAACTAGATCTATTAAAAAAAAAAAAAATAATTATATTCCCACCAACTTTACAGGTGAGGAGTTCAAACAAGGCAGCATCTTAATACTGGATCTAAACAGCGAGAGCAACACCCTTATGGTTTCAGAATACAGTTGAGCACCTGATAAAATATTCTCCACTCATTTTATTCACAATATGTGCGTTCCATACAGGGCAATATTTTCTCATAACAATGTTCAATGTCATATTTTGCCTCTTTATGCTGGAGCCAAACAAAACTGTCATCAAATAGAAAAAGAAAAATTGCAAATCGTGCGTAGCTGAATTCTCATTCTCTGAATGTGTGACATGCTTATGACTCGCACTTCTGCGGACAGTGGGAATGTAATGAAATGCAATGAAAGAATAATAAGCAGCCACTCATCCAATGAAACACTGCAACTATGCCACACCTCTTCAGGATAATATTTCTAAGACTTATCTCGCTCTGTACTTAAGCTGTCAACAGTAAAAAGAGGAGATGACATTCAAATCGTACAAAAACCTAATAAAACTTATCTGATAAGAAACATGACAGGAAAAAAAAAAAGTTCTGAAACGATTCAAATTCACTGAGTGCTATCGTTTACCCCTGTAGATCCCGATTGAGTTGTCGGCAGCCTAGAATGTAAAGAACAAATATCCCATGGTAACACAAATACTGTGGTCAAATCATTTTCAGGTGACCAAGTCTCAGAAATTATGAAAACGACCAGAAAAAATTAATAAAAAATGGTGGGGGAGGAATGGAGAACAATGAACAATTGAGGCAATTTCCTGTTGTTTATAGAAAAAACAAATGTGGAAATAAGCTTTGAAGCTTAGTATGATGAATGTCTGTCCTTTCATTAGTTTTTTTTTTTTTTTCCTTAATTTTAGATTTTGTTTTCCTCCTATTTTTGATTCAGTGCAATGCATGGAACAATACAAGGGTCCCCCAGGGTTGGTTTTCTTTGTGGATTTTTGGAGTGGGCACATTGTTGTGGTCATTTAACTGGTGTCCATGGATTCCATATTAGCGCTGGTGGAGTCCCTCTGGATGCTGTCAAAGATGGCGGCCAGCTCAGGGTTGGAGCTGATTTGAGACTGGAACTCGCTCATTAGTGGGCTCTTCTCTGCCTCTGGGATGGTTAGCAAGGCCACTACGGCCCGCATGGCAGATCGTTTGAGCTCATCCTGCTTCTCAAACTCCTGCTTTACAGAGTTGGCTTTTACCTGGGAAAGAAAAGATGTTATGAGCCAACTTCATAATTAGAAATCAAAGGGCTCTCACACTTTTTGAGCAATTAATTGCCATGACTGTTTCATGACTTTCCAGTTGTTTGTGATTACTGAGAAACATGGAGAAAGAGGGGAATTGATGAGAAGGGGGAACAGGATCTTTAAATATTGCAAACCGTATTCAAACTTTCGCTCCCCTAAGAAAACCCACAGATTTCCTCTATTTTCAGTATACACAGAAAATACTTTATGTCTTATATCCATGTTTTTATTTTATTGTTTGATGAATATCTTGCAAACCTTTGTGGTGCATGTTGCCCTGAGCGGCTCCACAAGTCTGTCCAACCTCTGTAACACTGCACTGGGACACAAACTAGATAATCTGGCCAGCATGAGGAACGTCAGCATCTGTAAGGACATAGAGCAACAAAAAAAACATTAGGAATTATAAACCTTCATTGTGATTCATGAGCCTATGCACATATTTTGGTCTCACTGTATCTTTGAAGTCCCTAGTAACTATCAAAACACATGGCTTGATAGGTAAATGCATAACTTGATAACTCCTGTTTAAAGTGGGTAGGTAAACAATTTAAACCTAAAATACAACATTTTCTATTTCAAAGCACTTCTACTTCATTATCATGAAAGTACAGCTGGTAATAAGTACATTTAAAATAAAGTTGGATCACGTTTGTTGTCAATGCATTATGCATTTATGCCTTTGATGACCACACGCTGAATCTTTGTTAATCAATTCACTCTTTCATCTTCTGTGGTCGCTAAATGATCTGCATGGCAAAAGGCTTGTCTCATGAAAGATTCATGGATTACTCTGACGGCTTACCTTGATATCGTAATGGTCCTTAAGTCCATCTTCAACATGGTTTAAGAATTCAAAGATGTCAAGTCTATCAAGGCAGCTGTCTAAAAGAGTGTACATGCATTCAAATGCAGCCTTCCGGATATCCAGACCATCGTCCACTGTGTGTTTGAACGGACCCATCTCAACCTAGAAAGAGGCAATTAC